ACAAAAAAAAAAAAAAAAAAAAGAAGTTAGTGGAGAACTGTGCTCACATGTACAGCAAAGATAGACAGGAAAAGTTTAAAACATGCTGCCTTTAAAAAAGTAGGTTAAGCCTTTCTCTTCTTGTACTAGTTGTGGAGACTGCGGGTGGGGCCTCAATATGTAGAAGAATGCTGTGGATCTGTATGTGCCTTGGAAATGCTCTGCCAGCAACCACATTATTGGTGCGAAGGACCAAGCATCCATCCAGTGAACCTGGCTTAGGTTGACAAGATCACAGACAGCTTTAATGGCCAGTTTAAAACCTATCCTATTTGTGGGGCTATTCCCAAATGGGTGGATTGGATGACTCTATTCTACCATTGGCTAAGGTTGATGGCTTTGTCTCAAAGAAATTCTGAGTGGAGAGAGTTGTGGCTGTGGAACATTAGTCATAAATAAATAGTCAGAAACCACCACCACCAAAAAAAAAGTAGGTTAAAAGCATTTCTCTTTTGAAACAGAATGTTCCCTTAGGCATTTTCCTTGTGTTTTGCCACTAAAATATAAGTGATTATGTGTAACAGTTAACTGCAGATTGTTATTGTTGGAAATTATTTTTATATGCACAACTTGTGATGGAGGGTGAATTGCTAACATTGATTTGTACTTTGTTCTTACTCTGAGTTAGAGGAAGATTTAACTTAGATTGACTTATATTTTATCTCTCCAGTACAAAACGGGAAGTGAAGTTGGGCAGTAAACTGCTTCCTGTCTTCATGCAGGAAGAAAACAAACTGTACATACATAGGCAGATTTCAGTTTCTCTCAGCTCAATCCATTTCATATAAACAATTTAGCATTAGTAAAATGCTTAGTTAGTAAAATTAGTAAAGTGTTACAATGTCAACCCCGACTTAATTATTTTTTTCCTTGTTGGAACAAAATACCTGGCACACAAAGTGATAGGAGGAAAGGTTTATTTAGCTCACAGTTTGTAGAGGATTTAGTCCATAATTGGCTGGCTCCAAGGCAGAGTGGCATATGGCAGAGGGGCAACAGTTCATGGTGAACAGAAGGTAGCAAAGCAACAAGGGACATTAGCAGCTCTTTCTATCCTTTTATCTTATCTAGACTACTTAGGGCAGATAGCAGTCACATCTTTAATCCCGGGACCCTTGAGCCTAACATTATATCATAGATCAATTTTAACATCACATATTCTAGATCTAGCCACTTCTGAAAAAGTCCCACCTATGACCACATGAGGCTTTGGCGGGCATCTATACACAAGCCATAACACCCCCTTTGATCGTAACCCTGGGTGTATATTAGAACCACTTGGGAAGCTTTTAAAACAGTCCTATAATTAAGCCCAATATCCAATGTCTGATTTACTTGATATGGGGTATGGTTTGGGCATTAATATTTTTGAAAGCATCCTAAGTGATTTTAATGAGCAGACAGAGAGCCACGAGGCAAAAGGAGAGAATATATTTCTCCTGAACCTTTTTGTCTGTATTCAAGGCATTCTATTATCTATTCACATCCAAGCTTGTCAGATTCTGCCTGGCCCAAATTGCTTTCTGTGTCCTCTGAACATTGCTTGTGCTTCCCATTTGCTGTTTTATTTTCCCCCCCCAAATTCCAGGCATTTCCTCCCCACATTTTTTTTTTCTGATTTAATTCTTCCCCAGTTTTCAATATTCAGCTCAGTTTAGACTTCTTTCATGAATCCTTCCCTGCCTACCCCTGAATGGAGGGATTGCTTGTTCCACTAGAAAGTCATCTGAACAATGAATCAATTGTATGCTGGTTTGTGTCATCTCTTCTATTGTTGAGTTAAATGATTAATCTTTGCTTAACTCGTCACCTGTTTGTTATCTTGCTGTTTATGCTGTCAGCTTCTAGGATTTATTTGTATCTTTGACAAACCAGGTGTCTTGCACAGTGTAGGAAGCTACTATCTCTTCCTACCTTCCATCTTGGCTTTCACAGGTGTGGTTTAGGTCATCTTCTTCTGGAATCTTGCCCTGATCCTGATTAGCTTTCCTGCCACCAGAATCCTTGGCTCTTTAAATAAGGCCAACATATCAGTGTTCTATACGTCCCAATGGATAGTAAAACCAATTGTGTGTGTATTCCTTTACTTTCTCCTGTTTATTTTATGATCTATTTGAACCTTTGGCTTTCCTTCCCTGCTTACTCCCTCAGTCTCCAGATCTCTCTCTCTCTCTCTCTCTCTCTCTCTCTTTAAGGCAGGGTCTCCCTTTGTAACTTCAGGTTGGCCCTGAATTCACTATGTAGCCCAGGCTGGCCTTGAACCTGCAGCGATCCTTCTGCCTCAGCCTCTGGAGTGCTGGGATTACAGGTGTGCACCATCGTGCCCAGCTCGACTACCCAGATTTTGATGGCAAAATTTAATTTCTTAGATTTTTCTAGGATGTCAGGGTACAACATACTGTCTGGGTCTTCCTGTCTCTATTCCTTTGGGTAAACACTCCCACTGACTAGGCTCTGGTCTGGGGGACCTAAATTATCATGTCAGTCCTCCGAAATAACCGGGCCTGACCTTTCCAGATTCCCCTCAAAGAAAGTAGACACTCACGGTGTTTAGACTTCTCACCCTTTAACAGAAATCTGATTGTGTTGGTCACATGTTGGAGAAAATAAAAACAGCCCATGAAAAGATTGGGGAAATATACTAGAATTTTTCCAGGCTAAGGCCAAAAGCAATCATTAAGTAAGGAAGAGTTTTTATTATCATTTTGCAAAACATGTACTCCTTTTCAGGGGACCTGAAAGATTTGAATAAATACTTGTCATTTCAATTAGCTGCTGGGAAGTAAATCCTTCTGCACAATAAATTATCAATTTGTTTCTATCTTACCACAGTTAAAATGTTAACTGTGGAGCTTATTTTGCTCTGAGAAGGCCATAAGCCCTAAGGGCTCAGAGTTTAAGAGATCTTTACTGATTCCTTTCTTTAGCTGCTACCGCGAACCCTAGAGTCAATCATTTCCTCCGGGAGTCGGACCACTCCCATTTCTTAGACCTAGCCCACTTAAATCATCCCTCCCTCCCCTTTCATGGCTCCGCCCCGAGCCCCACAGCAGAAGATTATTATTGGTGGAGAAGTTGTTCTAGTCCCACCCCCGGAGGGGGGCGATAGGCTGAACTGGCGTGGGGCGGTGGTGGTTGGCTGCCTGCGGACGGGTCTCTCTTCGTGCCTGTCAGAGTGGGTGGAGGCTGTGGCTGCCCGAGGGTGTGGGTTGTCTGTCAGTGTGAGGAGGGCGAAGATGGCTCGCCAGGACCCGTTCTGCTAGGAAGAAGGGGGGCAGGTGGTGCTGCTCCTCTGGAGAAAGCACAGCCGCCGCCTTCGTGGTGGCTGCAAGCCGCACAGTTCGAGGTTCTGCAGTGGAGCTCTCACAGCCGCTCTGGTGAGTCCCGCGGAGAGACTCGCGCCGGCCCCCCAGGGCGTCCGGAGACCGAGAACTTTTTTGTCAGGGAGGAGCCGGGGCGAGGCGGCGGCAGCGGCGGGGAGGGGATGGGACTTTGTCCCCGGGGCTGCG